AAGTAAATCCATTTCATTAATACCTAAAAACAGAAAAAATTAAACATCAGCCATATGATTCCCCTCACACAAGCTACCACAACTGGTTACAGCCATCATGTTGATGGTTATTGTAAATGAAATGATTGGTGATCAGATTTGAGTGAAAGGATGGACCACAGTTGTCTTCATCTGATGGGCCAGTTATTGTCATTGACTTCTCAGCTTCATTGGAACGATTGGCCAGTACTTGAGTGGTATGGTGGGCCATCTTGAGCTTGATGATGGGCCAGTGCTTGATTGGTATGATGTGTCAGCTTGAACTTGATGATGGGTCAGTGCTTGATTGGTATGATGTGTCCGCTTGAGCTCGATGATGTGCCAGGGCTTGATTGGTATGATGTGCCATCTTGAGCTTGATGATGGGCCAGTGCTTGATTGGTATGATGGGCTACCTTGAGCTTGATGGGCCAGTGCTTGATTGGTATGATGTGCCAGCTTGAGTTCAATGATGGGCCAGTACTTGGCCCATATGTGGTCACAGTGATTGGTAGAACACAATGTACATAGCAGCCAGGCGTGCTATTTGGACGTGATTGCTCTGCCGATTGCTCCAGTGGTCTCCTCATGTTCGTCTGCGTGGCCCCCCAGTGGCTTGTTCACCCATACCAGCCCCTTGGCTCCATCTCCCAGGGTTATAGAGTGGCAAGGCTGTGGGTGGCACTGAAGGCCAGGACGTCAGTGTGGGTTTGTGCAGCGGTGTCGGAACCTACTACGCTCCATTCTCATGAAAATTGTGCAAATTATACACTTGTGGAAATTCATATTTGTCTTTTTGCGTTGTCTGTTAAGTTGGCGTTAGCCTGTATTTTGAGATGCTTCATGGCACACCGCCAACCCAATGATGTTGTTAGCTATGATAGGTCTTCTATAGTTTGTTTAGCAAAGCCTTGTTTGTATGTACGCGTGTAGCCACGGAGGAGAAGATTACGTGTTCTCACTGCTGACCGGATACTGCGAGCCTCCAGTTGGTGTGGCCATACGCGAGGGCATGCATTTCAACCCATACTTCCCTGGACAAGCTATCAGCATGGCTCCACCTCTTTACAATGAAATTTTGGAATATGAAGATGGTACGTAATGCTTTTTTCTGCGTATTGTATTGATAATGATAATGTTAGATGTGTATTTTTAGTTTTGCACATACGTATTTTTAAATGTAATTATTTTTTGCATATTTAAAAAAAAATTATTACAATTTTCTTCCAATTGTGCTGTCAGTGTTGTCATGGGAACCATTCAAGTGCCCTCTTTAGCCACGCTACTAACACTACATTCCCACACATGCCCTGCTGTAGAGAAGTGCTTTAGGTGGCAGTGAAATCCATACTGCAGTTTCTTAATTTTTACTAAAGTGAAAAATAAATTGTAATATGGTAGTAGTTTTGCACAGTCATTGTTGATCAGGCTAAGTTCATTCCCTATGCTTGAGAAACCGGCTTAAACACGGGCATCCAAAACCTGTTTTTAAACCAAGCATCTCTCAAGGGTTCTGGTTGAGTGCTCCCACCCTTATTACATGTGGCCCACTGAGCAGAGTGAAATAGTTTCACCTCTGTTCAATGATTGCACTTACAAGAATACAATACAAAATCATATAAATTAAAATTAATGAACAGTATAATGATTTACATTTTTGTGCAACCCCTATATTTTAAGCTACCGATATTGATTTGGGCTTTCATCGGGTAATACAAAAAATATGCACCGTGTGAATTTTTTTATCACAATCTTTCACTGGCATAGTGTCAATGGGAGCGAAATAAATTGTCAGCATTTTACATGTCCATACCAATAATTCCAACAAAGAATGTGCATTAGATTTCCAAGTGATCATTTCTAAATACATTTGAAACTGAGGGTTGTGTAAGTTATATTCTTGTAAAGGACCTACTGGTAAAATTGCCCTGCATGTAGTTATCTTTGCAGAAATGAGTTACCATCTCTTGTTATATTACAGGGACACCGGCTAGCATGAGCCAGGTGGCAAAGGATGTGTGCACCTTCCTGCGCTGGGCGGCTGAACCAGAGCATGACACTCGCAAGCGCATGGGCCTGAAGGTAAGCTCTCCATTGAATGACTAGCGTTGCAGTTATGTACTCTACAAAATTACATGGCTTGCGTTGAGAATAAATTATTGGTGATTTAATGCCTCCTTTGGTCATGTTGTTGCTGCCAGGTACAACTGCATATGCTGTGAAATAAAATGTTCGTGGAATAACCAAGGAGCCTGATTCTGTCTTCCCACAGCTCATGATGCTGATGGGCATCGTATTGCCTTTGTTCTACTACATGAAGCGCATTCGATGGTCCGTACTCAAGTCGAGGAAGATTGCGTACAAGCCACCCCAGTAGAGACCGGTGCCAGTTGGTGGACAGGCTCTCAGGCGGCAGAAAGCCTTATGGCATGCAATTCACCTAAACTTGTATAAAAATATAAACGGAAATGACAAAAGTGGATTCGTGGCAAAACACGCTAACATTGATCAGCCTGCTATGAGTGATGTGCATTGTGCTGTTCATACTTTCTGCATCATTTTCGCCTCGCGCAATAACTCGGTTCCTCTTCTTCAGCCATGGACGATGGCTGGAGCTAAATAAACATAATCTTATGTAAACATGTTGTACTTGTGTGTCTTTGTTCGAGAGTTTTGATTGAAAACATTTCTTGTGTCAAAGGAGTGTGTACAAAATGACTTCTGTGTTTGTGATGTTGGTCCTGTAAGCACTCACGCCACTTCTCAAACCTCCTCGACCTCCCTGGTTAACTACTGCCCTCGGTGGATACAAAATGAATGGCACATTTGAAAGGTTATGGAAATCCAGCCTTGATATCTTAATACCAGATATGGAAGACTCGTATTGATAAATAAGTTCAGTTGGCTCTGGCAAGATCAAAATTGGATTTTTGCTCCGATTGCAAATGGTGCTTAAAGTATGCATACATTTAGCAATTGTAATTATACATAAAATAGATTTAAACGAATCGTCTGTTAAAAATATATATTTTTAATAATTCTGAAATAGTTTTCAAATCTGTAAATGATTAAAAAAAACATGCAGTCAGCCACAATTTTCTCAAATTTATTTTGATGGTGACCTAAGACCACAAAGCAGTTCATCAGGAAATGCTGATGAATTTTTGCATATTACACTGGCTGCATGTTACACATTATTCTATTCTTAGGTGTTTTCGGTAAAGTCACGTAGGTAAAACATCAAAATTAATAAAAATAATAAAATAAAGATCACGACGTTTTGGAGGCAACACAAGTCTCCGTCATCAGGTGGGACAGTCACAGCCAGATCAGCTGCATCAAGTGAGGCAATGATTCAAGATGTAATCCCTTAAAAGGGAGTTGAGGGGGGGGCTCATCAGAATGTGGTAGCCAATGAATGGAAAGTATCGGGAGAGAGGGGCCAAAAAAAGGGTGCATGTTACACATTTGCGTGTTGTTAGAAACTCCTAAAATAGCTTTTAATCAAATGTCTTCATTATCCACAACTGATACCTTCAAAAATGTCAGTTTTGGAGGACAGTGGCCACATTTTTACCAAGCGGTATGATTTTTATTGAATTTTATTTGACCTTTATTGTGATAACACATTTTACCTCTGCATGTAAAATTATCCATGTGCACGTTACACTCAAAATTCAACTACAAAGAGATCAAAACGATTCCATGTTGCCCATTAGTGACAAAGTACTGTAAGGGTACCTTTAAAATCAAAAGTTTACCTTTTGCATTTACAACATTGCCATTTTTGGCTCTCGTTACAAAAATCGTTGAAGGGGAAACAACATTGGTAGTGAGTTGGAGCGAGTGGAGCTCCTGTAATGCAGTGATGCATCATTGTCCTGCAATATTTGCCTACGTACTGGGTTCCCTCATTGACGATATCAGTTCTCATAAAAGCTTTGCTAATGGAAGCTTTATACTGTGACGTTAGGGGCCATCCATTTAGTACGTACACATGGAGGGGGAGGGTTAACCCAAATGCGTACATTTTCTACTGACTGTGAGTACGCATAGGAAACGGGGGGGAGAGGAAGCCTCGATAACACATTCCTGCGGAGGGAGCTGGTAGGAACGTTGGGTTGCTCGGTCAATGGCCTGCAGGGTCAACGGCGGCGTGGTGTATTCCGCAAATATGCTCGACTGTGAGGGCGGGCACAAGCCGGCGTGAGTAGGTTAAACGTTGAGTTTTATAAGGGCACCACGGGGTGACCAGCCCCTCCCCACCCAGCCCCACCCCTCCCACCCCCCACCCAGCCCCTCCCCACCCTCCCCCCACCCAGCCCCTCCCAACCCAGCCCCTCCCCACCCAGCCTCACTCCTCCCACCCCCCCCACCCAGCCCCTCCCCACCCTCCCCTCCCAACCCAGCCCCTCCCTCCCCACCCAGCCCCTCCCTGCACGACGGACACAATAATCCCCTGGGGGCTGGTGTAACCAGGAGGTTCCTACCAGTAATCATTTGTCTACATTGGCCTTCAAATTAGTTAGTCCGGCGGTGGACTGTTTGCTTTTACACGTTAATATTGTAAATCCTTGATCATTTCTGCGTGGATTAAATATCGGCCGTTCTATAGGATTCGGGGGGGGGGGGGTGCGTCAGGCGAACGTACGCAGGTGGGGGGGGGGGGGTGTAAAAAGTCCACGTGCGTACAGGGAGAGGGGGGGGGGGGTCAAATTTTGACAGATTTTTGCGTTCCTACTAAATGGATGACCCCTTACCCACTGCGAGTGGTCATTGCTGATCCACGGTGTGGCGCTGCAGCCTTGTGAAGTCGCATCCACTGCCCCATCATCGCCTTGTGAATTAAATACATGTATCAGTGGCCGTCGAAAGCGCTGTTCTTCCCGCACCATGACACCTTGCGCGATCTCGATGCGCTCATTCGAGTTCAAATAAGCAACGTTAGAACGCACCGTTTCGGAGGAAGAAGGCAGTTTGTCATTTCCTTAAATATTTTATTTTAAGTACGGCATTTTAACATGAACATAATGAAGCAGTAGCGTGTTAATGACAAGCAATGGTTTACAAAATGTTTAGTCTTGGCAAATCCTAGTAAAAAAAAATGGCAAATTATCCATTGACTGCCATTTTCAGACTTTTTATACAAAATATTACACATTGAGCTACCGGTGAATGAAAACCAACTTGAAAAAATTAACAAAAGTATGGACAGCTATTCCAATGAAAAACACATTTTTAACACTCCTAAGTTTTTCTATTTTTGGAACTATATTTCTAACCTGTTTGAGATTCCGAAAGCAATTAAAAATCTATACACAAGTGTACATTTAGGCATATCATTGCGTAAGCTGCCACCCATTGAAAACATCTTCCTGCCACAGCTTGCAGATGAAACCTAACACCAATTTTCTCACCGTTAATGTGTTCGTGAATAACTGGATTTTATTAAATATTGTGCCAAGGTTTGATATCAACATGTTTTTGTTTAATCAGTGTATTAAACTGGCGGCTACTATTCTCGAAGACAAACGTCCTGAAAATATGGCTCAACAAAAACCATTCTAAAATAAGACAAGCTCGCCCCGACATCTTTAAAATTCGCTGTGCTTGTTAAATTAAAGAAATCAACGAAACGTTAATTTGCTTTAGGCTCATTCGCTGTGGTTGGAGTCCTAAAGCTGCAAATATCCAGTCTGTGGATTAGTGATAATATAATTATACTGAAAGGATATACAGATCTTCACAGCAAGCTCCAGCCATGCTCAGACTGGTGGTGATTTAGCATCTTAATTAAAGGTTCTCAGTTTGTCAAGTGTCTTGTTTTGCATCGCATTTGTGAATTAAGAAAAGTGTAGAAATTATAACCACCCACTGCAATCGAGAATTGGTTATGTGCATGTATGCATGATGTGCACCATGTGGTATTAGATATTGCAGGCTATACTATTTCACAAAATCTGCTGCTGAACTGTGTTCAGTTCGTCTTGGGACATCTTTACGCCTGCACGAATGTTATCACAAAGTCAAAGCTTTTAAATTCCCCAAAATTAGACGATAATATTTCACGAGAAAAAAACAGGTTTCTAGGTGCAAAGCTCACTGTAATTTGAACACAGATACACACACAGATTGATTTTAATTTTTTACAATGTAATGTTCTTTAAAGCACCCAACACATTAAAAGTGCCATCACAGTATTTTCAATCTTGTAGAATTTAAAAAGCCAAACACACACAAGGGTTCTACAAATCTCACCCGGTCCTGCGTCACCCCGAACTAGAAAACGTCTTTCAGTAGTTGTCTCGCGCAGATGAAAGGTTATGCATTGTCTTGTTGAGTCGTGGCATATTGTTCTTCTTCAGCTACACGGAGGGGCGACGCAGGGTTTCACACGCCCATCATCTGGTTACGGGTCCACCAAACACGTTGACAAACATGCAGCATGGCTTTATAAATCAAAAATGCATTTCCTGAGTCACCCCTGCACAAAGTGGCACACTCCTCTCTTAAGCGCTGAAGCTGCAGCAGTCTGGGGATTCTATCCGGTGTATACATGCGACGAGTGCGTATGCTTGACAGGTGTTTGGTGGATCAGAGTAATCAACAACAGTCTGGCACGGAGCCACACTTCTGCTACGTGCAATAGCTCCAACTTTCAACTCTATTTATTGGATACCCACGGCAGAAGACGCTGGTGAACCGAATTGAAGTCTGGGAACTTTTGAGAGACGTGTGGATGACACGTGGCGCAGAGGGGAGTTGGAAGTCGGCACGAGTGGCTGGGAATTTGTTTTCAATATTTTAGGATTCTTGCTCTTTGTGTCACGAGTCATCCAGTCGGTATAGAAACCACCCACCCTCATTCTCAGCTCCCCCCCCCCCTCTCTCTCTCTCACCACCGATGCAGAGCAGCCGCAGCAAGTTGATTAGAGCTTCTTTTGTAGACTGGTGCCAGGTAAATAATTGAATGGGAAACGGTCAGGGATTTTCCTCTGCTGCCAATGCAGTCCTCCTCGGCGTCAACCCCGTTTGTCAGGTGCGGCGGTGCCCTTATCTCCAACACGTTTGATTGATGTGTAACCAGTTACAATATTATAAACATCTATTTTAGCTGAAGGCAAAAGCATAACGGTCACCCCTACCCTGAAAAAAGTGATACCACAGTTTCTCTGCTGTAAAAATACATTTACATATTTGCAGAACTTCAACAATGAAGTGCCAGGTGATATATATACAGTATATATATGTAATTTTTACATCACAACTAAATTAGTTAAACTCATAGTCACCAGTGTAAAACTGTAGTGCTTTTTTTTTAAATAACCCCCATCACACTGTGCAACTACTCTGTGCAGTCCACCTGGGCTGTCTTTGGCATGTCTGAATGCCGGCAGGGAACATTTTCACTACGTTCTTACGCGCACATTTTTTTCTCTCTCCCCCCCCAATTTTTTTTTTTTTTACCTCCTGCCAATCTCAGTCTGCCGGAGAAACTGGACGTTGTTGGCGCTGTCGGCCAACTCTGGAAACTGGTTGACGGGCAGGATGTAGAAGCCCTCGTAGCCGGCCACCCGTCCCGCGCCCAGCAGCTGCCGCTTCTCCCCGTCGCTCCACTGGCGGCCGCCCTCTTCGCCGTCCCGCACACGCTGCTGCTCGTGCGCCCACGCCTGACCGAGGGCGCGCTGCCGCGCCTGTTCCAGGACGCGCGCCCGCTCCTCGTCCGGCGACGCGCCGTAGCGCACGTTGAGGAGGAGCGCGTCGACCGACAGCGACACGTCCATGTAGCGGCGGCTGCGGCCGTTCACGATGGCGGTCGACTGCGAGATGCTCACGTTGGCGCCGTTCTCCAGCAGCTTGTGGCCGCTGCTCACGCCCAGGACGGCCAGGTCCCAGTCGGACGAGCCGCTCTTCACGAAGTAGTGCGTGTCCTTGCCGTCCACTGTGAAGTGGAAGCGCTCCAGGTAGTGTGAGCTGTTGAGGACCGTGGCGATCTTTCGGCAGTCCTCGCTTGCGATGTTGATGATGTCCGTGTAAATCTGTCCGTGGTTGTTTGCGATCATCACGCCCTTGCCCAGAAGGGAGCTCATGGGTGTGAACCACCGCTGGGAGGACTTCTGTCTCTGGCCAGGCCGGCAGGGTTCCCAGTGGGGAGGAAGGCTTTTCAGCGACAAGAAGGCCTTGAGCTGTTTGTTCGCAAGACACTCCACCCAGGACAGGCTCTGAAAAACACAGCCACGTTTTGCAATTAATCTCAAGCAATAATGCCCACTACTGCACATAGAACCAAATACATATTTATGTTTACATGGGAGACCTCAACAACTTTACAGTGAAGGGAACATTAAAGATTAAAAGATCAAGATGTCATCAAGGCCAAAGTCATTTTTGTCACCAGACCTCATCGCCAACGCTTTATAACCTCGACCACATCCCCCAGTTGCTGCACTTTAGACATGCAACCTCCAATAGTTGCCCTAAAAGTATCCCACTATCATTATTAGAATGATATATATTTGTAATTTTTTGAGAGAGATTTTTTTTTACGTCTGGAATTTTCGTTATTACACTGACACAGAGCGACCAGCAGAGGAGCGTTTATTGCCACTTTACAACAATGGATGTCTGCTGCAAAGATAAAGTAAAAAAGACTCAGTCTCAGCCTTAACGGACTGTTGGGGCAAGAGCTGTTAGCGAGCACCTATGAAGACCAGCATGGCACACGAGGGGGGTGGGTGATCAGCACAACGCTCGGCCGTCTTTGTCTCCCTAGTGGCGATGTGTACACATCGCGCCAGGTATTCATTTAAGGCCCAGGACTTGTTCAAGATAATCATTACCGGTGTTGGCACACTCATCGCTCTACGACCGCTCCCCATGTAAAACGCCAAAGCGTTTGAAACATTTGATGGCTGGTGAGCAAAATGTAACAGTCTTGAATTCCAAAACGTTTTTTTTATACATTTTTCTCGGAATCCAGCATTTTACAACTATAGATGTTGGAACCATCATTGCATTACTTACTTGCTACACAACATCAATGGGTATTTACATTAACAAAAAGTTGTAACATTTTTTGGTCTTGAAAGATACCTCGACGTTTAAGAGCAACAGGACTGCAAAACAAACCCAAAAACATATCTGTTACCAAATAAATAAACTTCACCATTTAGTCAATGGGGAGTTTCTGTAATCGTCAGCGTACTGAAATCGTTTTACATTCTACAGGTTGCTGGATCGACTCGATCTTACGATGCCTGCAGTTGAATCAATGGCCATGATTCTTGAACCCCACCCCCGCCTATAGGTGCGCCTAAATAGGTGGACCTTAATTAGTAGATTGGCAGGTCGTGTGTGGTAGGGTAAAGTGTGGGTACTGTCCTCGAGAGCTCGCTCTAGCAGAGGCTCTTCTGCCAGCGGTGGCATGAAGCAGGCAATCGCAGGGCAGTGCCTTTAGCTATTCAGTAAATGTATTGAAACATGTCGAGAACGAAGGGTTAAAGTTCAATATCCAGATGCAAAAAGGGAAGAAAAGTATAGTGCTTGAACTCATGGAGTATTCTTGTCATGTGCACACCATGTTGAAGAATTTATGATAGTGGCCTGAAAGTGAAAATACTGAGATGCACGGCAGGCATACGCAGCGGCTGTTGAAATATTGATCAAAGTAAATGCTAATTCTGGCTGGCCCGGCCCGAGAGATTAATTCACTGAAATATCCAGTGACCAGCTGGGTAACTTCTATGGGAGAGAGAGCCCCGCGCGGCAGCACCGTTAAAGAACTGTCCACGATACGCGCAGCTCCGCATCTGCAAAGTCACCTTTGAACTCGCAGGTGCCAGCGTTGTCTTCAGCCGGTGGGAAGGTTCATAGGACTCTGTCCTGAGCTTGGGGTAGCCAGCGACCACATTGTGCAGCTGGAAGCCGAACGTCTGCAACCAGCTGTTCACGTCTACAGAAAGCAAAACACCATTGCAGATCAATGACGAGGCGGTTAGGCAAACAAACGAAGGCAACTTTAACATGGCACGCCGTTGTCATATTGCACGGTGGAATGTTATTTTTATGTTAATGTTTTCTATTTATTAATAAACAAAAAACATTTTAAAAGTAATAGGGTTGTCGTGATTATTTGATAATTGTTATTATTAGTTTTGCAAAATAGAATTATATCGTTGCTAATGAAATTCATTAAAAGATATTATTTCCTGACAAAATTTGTGAAATAACAAACACAATGATTAAATTTGAATTTTTTAATATTTTTTTCTGGCTTGCCAAATCTACCCGCTGGTTTTCCTACATCACAACTTAATACGCCAAGACTATTCTCGACACTAATTTGTTTATTTCCTGTGTAATTAACAGCAGAAGTGCTAAAAAACACGAGAGAATGTAAAGTTGCAATGATTACAATATTATGACAATCTTTAATAATGTTATTGTTTACTGAAAAAACAGCAAAGCACAAAAAACAATACGATAAAAATGTCACACACCGCACAGTTTCAAATTTAAGGGAATCTCATTGCGGTGAATGCCATTGCGTGAAAACCGCTGTCGTGCCGAATGGTGGACAATCATATCACAGCAACGCGACGGCTACTCAACACCTGCACATTCTTCCACCACTGTGCAACGCGACGAGCGACGCTGCGTTATTACCTGTGACGTATCGGTGCGCATCCCGCCCAACGCTCACTGGGTTGTTGTTCTGAAACATGTAGAGGTTGAACGGCTTCGGCTGGGCGCTGACCTCCTTCCACAGCTCGATCTCGGGTGACGTCCAGCGGCCGGTGAGTACATCGTAGTCCTTCCAGCCGAAGTGCACCAGCATGGTGAGCGGGTCGTAGAGGCCTCCGTGGAAGCCGATGGGCAGCTGGAAGTCTGGGTTGGAGTCAGAGTAGATCTCCCCGTAGGCCGTGTACTGCAGGTAGCGCACCACCTGCCCCGCATTGTCGAAGACGGCCAGGGGTGTGCCCATGCCGTCGGTGGCCACGTAGTACTCGTCGCCGCTGTTGAGCTCCACGGAGAAGAGGTGGCCCTGCAGGTCGTAGTAGAGCGTGATGATCTCCGAGTTGGTGTGGTTGTACATGTGCGTGACCCGGCCCGGATTGGCGAGGTCGGCGTAGAAGTACTGCAGGTGCTGCCGGAAGTTAGTCTTGCGCGACACGCGCCGCCCGAGCCCGTCGTAGCGGTACTGCACGCTCCAGCCGCTGGCCTTGCTGTACACCTGCATGAGCAGGCCGTTGGAGTTGTACTCGAAGAGCTCGCTGCCGCGCTGCCTGAGGAAGCCGTCGTCGTCCAACACGTAACGCATGTCGCCCAGGCGGCTCACGCGGTCGCGCAGGTCGTAGCGCAGCGGCGTCAGGCGGGCGCTGTTACCCGGGTTCAGCAGGTGCAGGTTGCCGTTCAGGTCGTAGCTGTACTTCCAGCTCTGCCGGTTGTTGATGGACACGCTATGGAGCTGTCCGTCCGTGTCGTACTCGTAGGCGAGCTTTGTCGTGTTGGCGTAGGGCCCGATTTTAAGCTCGCATTTGGCCACCCTGCCCATGGCGTCGTAGTTCAAGACCATCCAGAACATGAGCGACCTGTAGACTTCGTACTGCACCTCTTTGAGTCGGCCGAACGAGTCGAAGTGTTTGGTGAGAGTCATGGCGGCCGTGGTGATGATCTGGTGGATGTCGAAGTAAATGACTGCAAACTTCCCGAACTGCTCCACCTTGCCGGAGATGTCGTCGTACTGGTAGAGATCTATGGGCAGTGGCGTCTCATTGATCACCACCTGCATGCTGGCGATGCGGAAGACGGAGTCGAAGCTGTAGTCGAAGCGCGCGTTCACCATCCCCTCCTCTCCAAAGCGGACGATCTGTCGGTTTAGCAGGGGCCCCACGAGGCGGAAGCGTATCGCGCTCGTGAACGTGCTGTCCTGCAGGTTGACGAGCTTGAGCATTCCGGTTGCGTCGTCGTGCGAGAAGGTCACGTGTGTGCCGTCGTACAGGATCTCGGACAGGCGGGACTGCTTGGCGTACTTGTAGAGCACCCGCCTGCCCGTGCCCATGAAGGCCGTCTGCAGGAGCAGCCCGTCCTCGCTGAAGTCCTGGAACACTGACGCGTTGCTCTCGGGCGGCAGGTAGACGTTGCGGTAGTAGCCAATGGAGCGCACGGTGCCCAGGGTGTGCCGCGCCACGCTCGGCATGGTGACGGACACCAGGCGGTCTGCCGCGTCGAACTCGAATATGTACTGCCGCTGGCTCTGCAGCAGCAGCACCATGGACTGTTGCGGGGGAGGGGTGGGGGGCGAGAAGGTGGCCAAATATTAGGGATGATGGCAAAGCAAGGGATTCAAAACAAAATAATCTGCCTACCTTCTTCAAGGCCTGTGACACCAACTCACCCGGATTGCGCTCGATTGTGTCAGATCTCAGAAGGTAAGCAGGGTTAACCTTGGATAGTGCTTGGATGGGTGACCACCATCTTTTTGTGTGTTTAATTTGTCCTTTTCTCAGACCTCCACGTAGCATGGTTGGCTACGTGTGGTGCGAAAGAAGGACAACGTACATACATGCTGGTTGATATCTCTTATGGATCCACATGTCGGTGGCAGAGGGCAGTACACTAAACATGGGGAATGGCTTTAAAAGTTGTATAATCTCATGTAGATGTAGATGCCACTAGTTCTTCACGTTCTGCAGATGTAGATGCCGCCACCACCACCATCTATTGCGCGGCAGTTAAACTTACAACCCCCGGCCGAACAAGCAACGGTACATACGCACAGGTTTGTTCGTATCTCTGAAAGTTCGTAAATCGAATGTTAGAAAGTAGAGGAGTCCATGTACGTACGTTGAACTTCTTTCATACCATACGTAGCCAACCGTTCTGGGGGGGGGGGGGGTGGTGGGACGCTGCACGCACACACCTTCTCAAGGTAGGTGTAGCTCCAGGTTTTTCCGTCGGCGAAGACGCGCGTGACCACGCGCCCGAGGCTGTCGTAGTGGTCGTGCTCCACCATGGAGCCCCACTGAAGGCCCGCGACACGGCCGCGCTCCGAGTACGTGACGTTCAGCGCCGTCAGCTTGTCGCCCGGCAGCCAGAGCGAGGGCAGGCCAAGCGGGCCGTACACCACGCGCAGCTGGAACTTGCGGTGGTCGTCGTAGATCTTCTCCGTCCGCGTCTCGCGGTCGAAATCGATGGACAGGATGTTTCGTCCATTCACCTGGTGTGTTGTTGCAAGATGGCAGGTATGATTAGTAATGATGTAATCGTAATTTTCTTTGGGAGTCATGTGGGAAAGGTTGATTTTATTTTAATGTTTTATTTTAAATGTTCTGTGTTTTTTTTTTGCTTTACAACTGAGTTTGAAAGATTTCATGCATTTGCACTGTCGTCCAATATAAACAAAGCAGTCATATGCAGCTGTGTGCCTAGTAGGGAGTTACCGCATATAAAACTGGCCGAATTGATTAAGGGGATGCCCAAAATTTGTAGACACAAACTCTAGCAAACAGGACTATTTGCAAATATTTAAATGAATTTTGCACTACCCACTTCTAATGAAATACTTCGAAATACAAAGGCACGTTGGAAAGCGTTGCATGTGAGTGTGTCACTTGTCTGGACTTAAGTTGCTTTGACAGAGATGTCCTTGTATTATGAGGATAATTTTTTTTGCCATGCGTAAGCTTGATGTATGTAACATCTAGACTAAGACAAGATCATTATTTCAAAGCATCTATTTTCTCTCGCCTTTTGCCCACAATTATATGCCAGTTGTGCCACTGTCATTATGTCATGAGGAAAAATATTACATGGCTATTTAGAATCATCACAGGGCAATACACCCCCTCCCCCCCGATGTTAGAGAATGGCCTGTGGAAGGTGATATGGCAGGGCTACTTTTGAGATGAGATCCCTTCAGGTGACGTTTTGTCTACACAAAGGTGCTAAACTAATGTACAATATAAAGATTACAGCCCTGAAATTTCTTACTCATGCCCCTGCAGGCAGAATGGACTCCATGAGAGGGAGCGCCACTCTTCCACGCTGACCAAGATGGCTTTGAAGAGGTGGTAGTACCCACGCTGTACCCCACCACACGCAACCTGCCAATGGGCTAATTGTGGTGAACTTATTTTCACTGCTGGATGGATCGAAGTGGGGGGGGGGGGGTATTTAAGAAACTTACCCATTATTTCAACGGCCGTGCCGGGAGATTTGAACCGAACCGGTGTCCTCGAGATTGCAAGTCCGGTCTGCTGACCATTACACCATGGCCAAAGCATCAGCACATAATTACCTACATTAATGTGTCATTTCTGTTGCCAGAGAGTCAACGGCGTAATGGATGTTCCGACGGCACAGCGTGCGTGATGCGATGGCATCTGCTAGGCATGTTTAAATTCCTACTGTTGTAAAATATTTAGATTTTTGCACACAAATTATTATGGGGACATGACAAGTCACTGCTCACGCATACGTGATGCAATGGCACACAGAGTACCAGACAAAGGCACCTTCAGAATTCTTGGGGACCCATTGGGTTTGATTGAAGTTCACAGAGTCAGACTAAGGCTCTTTTAGGATTCCTGTGGTGAAATATTAAAGCCGAAAAAACTCAGAGAGCCAAGATCAAGAGCGGCATAGCCACGAAAAACCAAGTAATAATGATAAAAAACCAGTGCCAGCCACATTAAAAAAAATAACCTTTTGAGTATAAATGAGATAAAATAAATGACTGGAGAAAATTATGTATTGGCGCAAGATGTTTCAAAAGGAAACTACAGAAGCAATTCTGGACAAATAATTCCCAGCAGCTCTCATTCTTTATCTGTGCTCCAGGCTCAACTTATCCGGCGAAGCTCCATCCCTGCGGTGGTGGGAACCAGACCCAGAGCGACTGTCCAAGAAGCTGTCAATTCCGTTAAAGAGTACCACTGGAGCCACTTAGCAACCTCACACCTAGGGAGACAGCAGCCTTTTATATTTCACCACCACAGTGAGATAAAGTGAGAATTAATTGAGCTGAGGTGCCATTAATAGTTATTTGTGTAACAAGGTTATTTGTGCCTGGGTTCTAACAGCCGAGGACAAAAACAACGATACACCCCACTTCAAGGCTCCGAAGCCTGTCAGGAGACTCAATATAAAAATAATTTCTCTCTGGGCACACAGCCCACCTGTTCTCTCACAGCTCTGAGCATGATGTCAGCTTGATTTATTTATAAATGGAACTTCAAGCGAGACCATCCCTTCCTCTTGGGAGCATCCCTCAAAAAGTGGAAATTAAACAAGTTTGGCACGGTCGTCCCAATCGAGCCTAATAAATTTATCTATATTGCTTAATTAAATCCTACTTTAGAATTTAATTTGTACAGTATTGCGATGGTAATCATCCTCTAATGATTGACTTAAACAACTATTGATCTTGAAAATGTAAATGATTTTACTTCTCTTGCCACGAGCATTGGCACAGCATTTTGGATGATGAAGTGTGTGATATTTATTATTCCTGTAATGTCGTTAAAGTATTTACGTATATATACACTCACTATACATATTACAAATGAAGCCCATGCTATGCAATGGATAACCATCCATATTCTTAGGTTTTTTCCGTTAAGGTCACGTAGGTAAAAAAATTTAATTAATAAAAGTAAAAAAAAATCACGACGTTTCGGAAGCAACACAAGCCTCCGTCTTCAGGTGGAACCGTCACAGCCACGACAGCTTTTATTAATTTAAAATTTTTACCTACGTAAGAATATGAATCCTTGCAGTCACGAAAGCTTCAAATCTAGAATTAATAACCATCCATATTCACTGTCCAACGAGAAGCATCTCAAGATGTGTATTTCCTGCCATAGGGCCAGTGAAACAAAAGCACAGAGCTCGCTGCTGTTGTGTATGTACCCCCTTTTTATTTTTTTTTAATATTATTTTTTTTTTAAGAATTATTCTGCCAACATAGATAATATCGTTTTTTTTTAATAGACGCGGCCACGTGGGAACGAACACGCCCCCACACTTCCACAGAGGCCCCCACACTTCCACAGATGCGCGCATACCTCATTTCAAAGGAGAGAGGACATGAAAGGGGGGGCAATAAGGTAATAAAAAAAAAAACTCCCCTAAATTCACACAAGAGGAACAAGGGAGGGGGGGAATTGCAGGCGGGGGGTTGCATAACCAGGAGACACGGAGGAAGAGATAATTATATTCTTAACAAAGAAACAGCATCGACGACAAAAAGCACAGATGGGTCTTTGAACCATGTTAAATACACAAGTTACCAACTTAACCATAAAGATTAAGCAAACAGTATCCATCCTCACTCCAATTGAAAACCAGACGACAAAATTGCACCAGAATCGCGACCCATCATTGTTAATTAAGTACTGACATTATTTACCTTTAAAGAATATCTACACGGCCGGGCCGAAGCATCAAAGAATAATTATGGCATCTATTTCGCTCCAAAACAAAATTCCTAGCCGGGATATCAGATTAAATAATCACAAGAAGTCAAATAATAAGTACGGAATTAAAGTAGAAGAGGAATCAAGGGCGGAGAAGGCTCTCAAAATTAACCAAACACAACAACCCATGGGAAGCGAGCAACACGGCCGCCTTTGTCTTTCCGAGAGGATCTCCACACGCAGGCACAAAGCTAGGAAATGACACCCATAAAGGGGGCAATGGCTCAAAGGAAATTAACACGTCTTCGAATAAATAAGCGCATGCGCCGGGTGCTCCCACCGTGGAAACAACCGCCTTTGTCTCCCCACAACACGGACAAACACGCACGCGAAACACACGGACGGACACACACACGGACGCAGATGGTCCACCCCCACAGGAAGGTTTTATGACACAGCTTTTGAACAACTCGGGAAGCCGAGTGGAATTTTCCGATATAAACCGAAGGAAAATCCATACAACTCAGATCGACAGGGGCTCTGGCCTCCATCACAGAGATCGTCCGGGCCACGAGCTCCACCAGAGATCATCCGGGCCACGAGCCCATCTTCGGCTCCACCACAGATCGTCAAGAAGTTTTCATCATTGAGAATGACGAGGGTCGCGGAGTAGCGACGCGTAGCTACAAGCCGAGGTCTGCACCACCTGAGAAGAATCGCTACCCTGAGTCGCAGAGCTGCGAGTGAAGCCAACAAAGACGCCAACGTCCACCCTGCCACGAACGAAGCATCGCTCCTCGTCAGAGTGACGACCAGCGAACAACCCGCAGGAAAGGCGGAGATCGCTGAACGAGCGCCAACTTGCGCCACCTTGCGCCACCGTGCGCCACCGTGCACCACTTTGCGCTGAACGTGCGCCACCGTGCGCCACCGTGCGACACCGAGCGACAACGAGCGACACCCAGATCGACCAGCATCAACCCAAACCGACTCGTCATCCCGCCGTGGAGAAAAAGAGTCAAAGTCTTCTGAACGAGCGCCGCCGCTCACCTCACAGCGGAGAAAGTCTCAGCTGCCGCTCGCACAAACAACAGAGGTCGTATCGCTCCCCACATACAGACTCAAGAAAACACAGAGAAATCTTGTCAAACCAGTTTCCTTTGTCCCAGAATCTCGCCGAAGAGTTAATTAAAACAGAGCCAGATTCGCTCTCGCGCCCACACGCCCTCACCCACCATTGTATCAAACCTTCCGTTAAAAAGGATTTTAGACTTGCCGATGAATCTATTGACATATACTTTCGCCTCTGGGATACAATAAGTGCTTTTTATTACCGCCATATGAAGTGTGTCATGCTTGTTTTCAAACTCGACCAGTCGCCGATTGTGATCAATACATGGGCGAACTAATGATGCCTGGTAGGAAAAGTAGAGGGTACAATTGATAGAAGTGTTTTTAGTCATTCAGTTCGTTAAATGCATAAGTGTTTATTCATTCATTTTAGTCAAATGCATAAGAGTTTGGTTATTCATATTAGTTAGTGCATAATATCGCAAATGCATAAGAATTTTAGTTATTCAATTTAGCTAAATACATAGTCTCGCAAATGCATAAGTGTTTATTCATTCATTTTAGTCAAATGCATAATCTCGTAATTGCATAAGAGTTTTGGTTATTCATATTAGTTAATGCATAATATCGCAAATGCATAAGAATTTTTAGTTATTCAATTTAGCTAAATGCATAAGTGTTTATTCATTCATTTTAGTCAAAGGCATAAGAGTTTTCGTTATTCATATTG